CTATATGGCCATCAACAGAAAGGAGGAAACCATGAAGATGAACAAAATCTGGCTACCAGTATTAAAAAACTCAAAAATTACAACAGCAAAACAACATAGGAGAAACAAACAGGCACATAAAATCACTCTCAACAAAAGATTCACCCCAGGCACTTCCAGGCCATTGAATGCAAATCAAGGTGATCAGCTGAAACATTACCCTGGTCATTCCACAGATATATAAACCCATTTTCCTACTTCCAACAGACCTCACTGCCTCCGAGGATGCTTGCCATAGATGCAGGCGAAACGTCAGGAGAAAATGCCTCTAGAACATGGCCGTATAACCCGGAAAAACCTACAACAACCCAGATATTATTATTATTAATAATAATAATAATAATTCTCTGGTCAAGTTGGCATTGAAATAGCTGGCCTGTGATGGGCAGTTGTGTGCTTTTCGTTGTGAGCTGCTTTGAGACTCTGTGTGGAGAGAGAAAGCAGGATATTATTATTATTATTATTATTATTATTATTATTATTATTATTATTATTTCTCTGGTCAAGTTGGCATTGAAATAGCTGTCCTTCTGTGATGTGCCAAGAGCTCCGCCTAATGGCCACTTCGAAGAATGCAATTCCAAATTTCCAAGAAGGGATATCTCTGGGGGATTTTGTGAGTTGTAGTCCATCCGATTATACAGTGATTTTCAACCTGTGGGTCCCCAGATGTTTTGGCCTTCAACTCCCAGAACTCCTAACAACTGGTAAACTGGCTGGGATTTCTGGGAGTTGCAGGCCAAAACACTTGGGGACCCACAGGTTGAGAACCACTGGATTATAATATGGCCCCAGTATCCACGATCTCAGATTTCACGTTGAAATAATATTCCCGTATAGTGGTATAGTGTAATATTGTAATGTATAATAATAATATTGTGCTATGCTAATCATATAACATCTATATAAATAGAAATGTAATGTTCCGTTTGTGAGATTAACAGAACTCAAAAACCACTGGGCGAATTGACACCAAATTGGCTCACAAGACACCTACTAACCCAATTTTTTTTTGAGTGACCATCACTCAAAAATTTGATATTGTCATTTGGGAATTGTAGTTGCTGGGATTTATAGTTCACCTACAATCAAAGAGCACTCTGAACTCTACCAATGATGGAATTGAACCAAACTTAGCACACAGGACTCCCATGATCAACAGACAACATTAGAAGGGTTTGGTGGGCATTGACCTTGAGTTTGAGAGTTGTAGTTCACCTATATCCAGAGAGCACTGTGGACTGAAACAATGATGGATCTGGATCAAACTTGGCATGAATATTCCATATGCCCAAATACACAGATTGAGTTTGGGGAAAATAGACCTTGACATTTGGGAGTTGTAGTTGCTGGGATTTACAGTTCACCTACAAACAAAGAGCATTCTGAATCCCACGAACGAGAGAACTGGGGCAAACTTCCCACACAGAACCCCGTGACCAACAGAATATACTTAAGGCCATCCAGTCCAACTCCCTTCACCAGGGCAAGCAAACATAAACAAAGCCCTCCAGACAAAGAGCCATCCAGCCATAGATATAGATAGAAATGATTCACACACAGAGAGATATAGTATTTGAAAGGGACCCCTAAAGAAGGACAATATGTTCCATGTTCCAGAGTAGGCAAACCAGACAATCTCTACATCAACACTGACAAAGAAACAACAAGAAGTACTATTTATCCACAAGCATAAAGAAATTCCATATATTAGAAACTTTATTTTATTTATTTTCAAGATCACCCGACTGGGTCACAGCAACGCGTGGCAGGGGAAAGCTAGTATTATATATACATATAATATTGGCAATAATATTATAATGTAATACTATACGATAATACAATATAAAATATATAATAATAATAATATTGTAATATGGTAAAACTAATATATCAAATATAATTACTGCTGATAATATATAATAATATAAAATGATACTAACTGTCCCCTGCCACGCATTGCTGTGGCCCAGTCTGTTGATCTGGAAAATAAAATAATGAGAAAGTGTTGGTTTCTAATATTTATAATTTCTTTATGCTTGTGTGTAAACAGTATTTCTTGCTGTTTCTTTGTCAGTATTGATGTGGAGAGTGTCTGCTTTGCCCACCCTGGAACATGCAACATATCATTGTCCTTCTTTAGGGGTCCCTCTCAAATATATCATACTATATCTCTCTCTGTGTGTGAATCATATCTATCTATCTATCTATCTATCTATCTATCTATCTATCTATCTATATCTATGGCTGGATGGCTCTTTGTCAGGAGGACTTTGATTGTGTTTTTTTGCCCTGATGAAGGGAGTTGGATTGGATGGCCTTAAATATTTTCTGTTGGTCATGGGGGTTCTGTGTGGGAAGTTTGCCCCAATTCTGTCGTTTGTGGGGTTCAGAACGCTCTTTGATTGTAGGTGAACTATAAATCCCAGCAACTACAACTCCCAAATGACAAGGTCTATTTCCCCAAACTCCATCAGTATTCACATTTGGGCATATTGAGTATTCGTGCCAAGTTTGGTCCAGATCCATCATTGTTTGAGTCCACAGTGCTCTCTGGATGTAGGTGAACTACAACTCCAAAATTCAAGGCCAATGCCCACCAAACCCTTCCAGTATTTTCTGTTGGTCATGGGAGTTCTGTGTGCCAAGTTTGGTTCAATTCCATCATTGGTGGAGTTCAGAATGCTCTTTGATTGTAGGTGAACTATACATCCCAGTAACTACAACTCGCATTTGTCAAGGTCTATTTTCCCCCAAGAGCGCCTCAAGAGCGCCCCTGGGCAAAATCAACTATACTGCAAATGCTTACTTTGAGTAATGGGTTGAGCCGCCCCTGATTATACAATAATATAATATAATATAATATAATATAATATAATATAATAATAATATATAATAATAATATTGTAATATAGTAAAACTAATATATTAAATATAATTACTACTGATAATATATAATAATATATAATGATATACTGTTTTATTATTTTATATTTTAAGTTGTAATTTTTTGATTGTGAGATGTTTTGAGTCTCGGTATGGAGAAATAAAGCAGGATATACACAAACAAACAAACAAACAAACAAAACATTTTAACAGCAAAACTTATTAAAATGAAGAGTTTCTGGTACAAGAATCCCAAAGAATAGTGTTGGAGGACCTAGAAAATGCCTAGAAAGGATGTGTTGTTGTTGGATGTGGATAAACAACATTCTGGATAATAGAGAACACTATTGAAACAAATAACTTCTAGCTCAAGGATAGCATAGAAATGTGCTGGAGGACCTAGAAAATGCCTAGAGATGACACATTTCGTAAGACATCAATAAGCAAAGCCATACAGAATAGCGAAACCTATTGAAATGAAGGACTTCCAGGCTGGAATCCCATAGATTTGTGCTGGAGGTGCTAGAAAATGCCCTTCGTGCAGAAAACAGCCACAATTCATCTTTCCCGGCGTCTCTAAGTTATTCCGCCGTTGATTAAATTAGTCAGTGCAATCAGACCCCAGAGTGATTTAATTGGGAGAATTCATTTGAACCTGACGGCTTTATGGGTGTCTGATGAAGTATTTAACAGGTGGTTTTGGGGAGTTGGCATAATTTGACTTTAAATCATGCGCAGAAAGAGCGGTGACTATTTATGAGCAAAATAAACTCCTTTTAATAAATATATAAATAAATGCACGTATTTATAATCAGGGATTATATTATTGTCAAAGCGAAAGTACCGTAGAATTTGAAGAGATTCCGATCCAAGTGGCACCATTCTCCAGAAAGCACTTAGGAAAGGGACTACAATATATAATATATTAGTATTATTACATTACAATATTATTATAGATAAAATAATACAATATAATATTATACAATAATTTAATTAATTAATTATAGATTATTATATTGTATTATTTTTCATATCACACTAATGAGACTATAATGTATCGTACAATAATGTTGTTTTACATTATAATTTTATCATTATATGTATGTACATTATATATTTACAGTATTTATATTATATTTATTTACAGTATTTACAATTATATTGTTAGCATAGCACCATAACAGTATATTCTTAAGTATTGTTGAAGGCTTTCATGCCTGTAATCACTAGGTTCTTGTGGGGTTTTTCGGGCTATATGGCCATGTTCTAGAGGCATTTTCTCCTGACGTTTAGCCTGCATCTATGGCAAGCATCCTGAGGTAGTGAGGTCTGTTGGAACTAGGAAAAAGGGTTTATATATCTGTGGAATGACCAGGGTGGGACAAAGAACTCTTGTCTGTTGGAGCTGGGTGTGAATGTTTCAGCTGACCACCTTCATTAGCATTTGAAGGCCTGGCTGAGCCTGGGGGAATCTTTTGTTGAGAGGTGATGTGATGTCCTTGTTTGTTTCCTCTCTGGGTTGTTGTAGGTTTTTTCAGGCTGTATGGCCATGGTCTAGAGGCATTTTCTCCTGACGTTTTGCCTGCATCTATGGCAAGCATCCTCAGAGGTAGTGAGGTCTGTTGGAACTAGGACAATGGGTTTATATATCTGTGGAATGACCAGGGTGGGACAAAGAACTCTTCTCTGCTGGAGCTGGGTGTGAATGTTTCAACTGACCACCTTCATTAGCATTTGAAGCCCTGGCTGAGCCTGGGGGAATCTTTTGTTGAGAGGTGTTAAGATGTGCCTGGTTGTTTCCTCTCTTCTGTTTTGCTGTTGTAATTTTAGAGTTTTTTAATACTGGTATATTCTTATATTGTCTCTACTGAGGGGGCTCCCAAGTGATGTTGCACCTGTTACCTTCTTCTCCTTCTCTGACAGGAATGGAAAGGCTTCTCAAAAAACAACTAGGCCTCCGAGGCCCCGCCCACCCGCTCCCGTTGCTAGGCAACCGCTTCCCGGCTGGCTCGCGCGCAGGCGCACACGCCCTCGCTCCTCTTTCCGCGCCGAGGCCGCCGGCGCCGTGTGATGACGCCATCCCCTGGCGCGCGGGAAGGTTCTCCTCAGAAGAGGCGGTTAAGGCAGGCGGGAGAGCCAGCGCTGCCTCTTGCCGCCATGGCCGCCCGGAAGAGACCCCGGCCCCGCCGTCTGCCCCTCCGGTGAGTCCCGCGTGAGGCCTCCTCGCTCTCCCCAGGAGCAGGCCTCGCCACAGGCCCAGCCCACCGCTTCAGGCCTGGATCCCAGGGGTTAGATAGGCCGCAGCCGCCTTCCCAGCCAGGAGGATGGGTGGGCGGTGGGTCTTGACGTTCTGGGGGATACGCCTGTGTGGAAGGGAAGGGAGGGCCGCAGAGGCACGCCCAGGGAGGCCGGACACATTCGTTCGATGGGGGAGGTGAAGCCCAAAGCACCTGGAGGGCTGAAGTTTGCCCATGCCTGAGAGAGAGAGAGAGAGAGGAACAGGTACAGTGTATGTAAGTTGGAACAGGTACATTGTAACTACAGAAAGATAAATAGAAGTCTCTCTGTGTATATGTGTGTGTGTAGATAGATGTGTGTGTATATATATACAGGTACATTGTATGTAAGTTGGAACAGGTACATTGTAACAACAGCCATTTAGATAGATAAATAGATGTGTGTGTATGTATGTATACAGCTACATTGTATGTAAGTTGGATTGGGTACATTGTAACTAGCCATTTAGATAGATAGATAGATAGATAGATAGATAGATAGATAGATAGATAGACCGACAGATAGGTGTGTGTGTGTGGTACATTGTATGTAAGTTGGCACAGGTACATTGTAACTACAGTCATTTAGATAGATAAATACATAGGTGTGTGTGTATATATATACAGGTACATTGTATGTAAGTTGGCACGGGTACATTGTAACTAGCCATTTAGATAGATAGATAGGTGTGTGTATGTGGTACATTGTATGTAAGTTGGCACATATACATTGTAAGTACAGCCAGTTAGATAGATAAATAGATGTGTGTGTGTGTGCGCGTGTGTACAAGTACATTGTATGTAAGTTGGAATGGGTACATTGTAATTAGCCATTTAGATAGATAAATAGGTGGTACATTGTATGTAAGTTGGTACAGATACATTGTAACTACAGCCATTTAGATAAATAAATAGATAGGTGTGTGTGTGTGTGTGTGTGTGTGGTACCTTGTATGTAAGTTGGCACAGGTACATTGTAACTACAGCCATTTAGATAGATAAATAGATAGGTGTGTGTGTGTGTATATATGTATATATATATGTATGTATACAGGTACATTGTATGTAAGTTGGAATGAGTACATTGTAACTACAGCCATTTAGATAGATAGATAGATAGATAGATAGATAGATAGATGTGTGTGCATGTATACTGGTACACATACACCAATGTAAGTTGGAACAGGTACATTGTAACTACAGTCATTTGGATAGATAGATGTGTGTTTGTGTGTGTGTCCATGTGCATGTGTGTGTATATAGGTCAGTGGTTCCCAACCTTGTTTTGATCAGGGATAACTTTAACCAGGGACCACTCTCCAACCCAAAAGGGTTAAGAATCAGTTTTTGGTCAACTTTAGATTCTGTTTTGTTACTTGAGATGCTGAATCGGAAAAATGGAGAAACACCCCTGTGGGATTTGTTTTGCTCTCTGTTCCCCTGTTCAGAAAATTTCCCCTTGCTTTTCATCTGTATTATAATTGGATTTTGGAAAACGTGCCTTGTTGTGGAAACAAGGATTGGGGATAAACCTTCAACGGAGATCCCTTTCCCCCATAATAATGGCTCTTCCAAGAGCAGATTTCCTTTCCTTCCAAGGGTTAGATTTCCTTCAGTTCCTGTTGTCTCACCTCAGTCCTTAACTATGAATTGTTTGTAAGTTGGATATTTGTAACTCGAGGACTGCCTGTAGATGTTGGTTGTTGTCTATGAAAACATAAGACTTCCCCTGAAAATAAGCGCTATTGCCTCGGTTTGGGGACCTCCTGCCCTAGTGCATCTTTCGGGGCACAAATTGCTCAAATGTAACATGTGCCTCATTTTCCAAAACCCTGAAAATAATAAAAAAAAGTATTTTCTGGTGAATGCAATGTAAAAAGTGCACTCTTTGTCATTTGGCCAAAAAAGGTGCTCATTGAATTTGCTGCCTGATTAGGATTCCGTCTTTAAAAACAAAAGTGTTGGGACACCAAAGCTTCCAGCAATGGAAAGAAAAACCTTGGAATGCATCTGTGCTGTAGAATGAATGCAATAATAATAATAATAACTTTATTTATCCCCCGCCACCATCTCCCCAAGGGACTCGGAGCAGCTTACATGAGGCCAAGCCCAACAACACATGATAAAACAATAAACAATAGTAAAAACAAGCAATAAGCAAAATAAACAATACAATTAGTATAACTCAGACATGGACAATAACACAGAAGAATTGAAAAAAATCTATGGCTGGGCCTTTAATTGCTTTGGTTCAGTGGTATGGAGTCATGTGGGCAGTACTTTGACAAGGTCCCTTCAGGGAGATAGGACGGGCTACAAATAAAGTTGTTGTTGTTATTATTATTATGGTCTTGAGCCTTCTCTGCCAAAGAGTCTGATGCCTCTACAAATCCCAGGATTGCATAGCATTGAGCCATGGCTGTTAAATTAGATATAATATCCCTCAAAGAGGAGCTTCAGGTGCAACTACTGAAGCAGCATCCCCATTGGCTTTGGGTCAGCACTAAGATTACTGTATGGTGCGAATCTAAGTTTGGAGAAGTCATTTAGCCAGAAAAAGGTGAGCATTAGATTCGAGTAAATACAGTATTTTCAGGGAAATACGGTATGCAACCGTATTTCTTTTTGTCTTTGCAAATGGATGGCCAACTTTCTTGTCCTCTGATACCTGTCAAGGTATTCCCTTCCTTCCCCTCTTTCTCTCTCTCTCCCTCCAATGGGCTCTCTTTCTCTTCTTTCCTGCAGGGAAGTCCCTCTCTCCCGGCGCATCCTCGCTGCTCTGACGCTCCCGGTTCACCGTCCCTTCGTCTTCCCCCCGCTCTCCTCCGTGGAGGCCCTCCAGTCGGCCCCCCTCTCTCTGACTCTGTGAACAGTGGGGTGGCCCCCAATGCCGGTCATCCCCATTCCCCGTCGGGTGCGCTCTTTCCACGGGCCCCACACCACCTGCCTGCACTCGGCCTGCGGGCCGGTCCGGAGCGCGCCCTTGGTGCGCACCAAGTACCACAACTTCGACCTCTACCTGAAGTCCCGCTGGATGTACGGCTTCATCCGCTTCTTGCTGTACTTCAGCTGCAGCCTCTTCACCTCCCTGCTTTGGGTGGCGCTCTCCCTCTTGTTCGGTCTCCAGTACCTCGGCATCCGGGTCTTCCTCCGCTTCCAGTACAAGCTCTCCGTCATCCTGCTCCTGCTGGGGAGGCGGCGGGTGGACTTCGGCCTCCTCAATGAACTCCTCATCTACGGCATCCACGTCACCATGCTCCTGGTGGGCGGCCTGGGCTGGTGCTTCATGGTCTTTGTGGATATGTGAATAATAAAAAAATGCGGGCGCATGTCCGCCAGGGACTTGAAACCCAGTGCGCTGCGTCTCTGTGTTGGCCATTCGTTCAACTCTGGGGGTATTTCGAATTTTGGTGAATTGTGGGGAAATCAGGACTCCGAGGAGAGCAGAAAATTGCAAAGAAATACATTTCTGTATATTGTCAAAGGCTTTTATGGCCGGAATCACTGGGTTATTGTGAGTTTTCCGGGCTGTATGGCCATGTTCCAGAAGCATTTTCTCGTGATGTTTTGCCCACATCTATGGCAGGCATCCTCAGGTTGTGAGGTCTGTTGGAAACCAGGCAAGTGGGGTTTATATATATGTGGGCGAAAGAACTCTTATCTGTTGGAGGCAAGTGTGAATGTTGCAATTGACCACCTTGATTAGCATTTAATGCCCTAGCAGTTTCAAGGTCTGGCTTCTTATCAACTAGGGGAGTCCTTTGTTGGGCGATGATCAACTGGCCCGGATTATTTCTTGTCTGGAATTCCCTTGTTCTGGAGTGTTGTTCTTTATTTACTGTTATGTGTTTTTTTAAATACAGGTAGCCAAATTTTGTTCATTTTCATGGTTTCCTCCTTTCTGTTGAAATTATCCACATACTTGTGGGTTTCAGTGGCTTCTTTGTGTAGTCTGATATGATGGTTGTGAGAGTAGTCCAGCATTTCTGTCTCCTCAAATAATATGCTGTGTCCAGGTTGGTTCATCAGGTGCTCTGCTATGGCTGACTTCTCTGGTTGAATTAGTCTATGGTGCCTTTCATGTTCCTTGATTTGTGTCTGGGCAATTCTGCTGCGTTGGGTGGTTCCAAAGTAGTCTTGTCCACAGCTGCATGGTACACAGGGACTCCTGCAGAGGTGAGGGGATCCCTCTTGTCCTTTGCTGAATGTAGCATTTGTTGGATTTTCTTCGTGGGTCTGTAGACAGTTTGTAGGTTGTGTTTCTTCATCAGGTTTCCTATTCAGTCAGTTGTTCCCTCGACCTCAGAACCTCTGAGGATGCCTGCCATAGATGCAGGTGAAACATCAGGAGAGAATGCTTCTGAAACATGGCTGTACAGCCCGGAAAACTCACAACAACACAAATACATTTCTATTTTTTTAAAATCTGAGAGAACACCTCTCTAGTACAGGCGCTCCCTGAGTTACAAACGACTCCTAGTTAAGAAAGTAGAGGCAGAGAGGACAGGAAGTGCGGAAAATCTATCAATCACAAGGGAAATTCACTCCTGGGAGAGTTGTTATCATAGGGAAAAGGTGTCTCCGCTGAAGCCTACTCTCCAATGCTTGTTTCCACGGCAAACCACATTTTCCAAAATCTAATTCTCACAGGGACAGAAAATGAGATGGAATCTTCTGAACAGGGGCACAGGCAGCAAAACAAACCCCACAGTGGCATTCACATAGAATCATAGAGTTGGAAGAGGCCTAATGGGCCATCCAGTCCAATCCCCTGCCAAGAAGCAGGAATATTGCATTCAGAGCACCCTGACAGATGGCCATCCAGCCTCTGTTTAATAGCTTCCAAAGAATGAGCCTTTATCACACTCCGGGGCAGAGAGTTCCACTGCTGAACGGCTCTCACAGTCAGTTCTTCCTCATGTTCAGTGGAATCTCCTTTCTTGTAGTTTGAAGCCATTGTTCTGCGTCCAAGTCTCCAGGGAAGCAGAAAACAAGCTTGCTCCCTCCTCCCTGTGACTTCCTCTCACATACTTATATATGGCTATCCTATCTCCTCTCATCCTTCTCTTCTTCAGGCTAAACATGCCCAGCTCCTTAAGCCGCTCCTCATAGGGCTTGTTCTCCAGACCCTTGATCGTTTCCCTATGCAGTCCAAAGCTAATAAATGTATATATTTGGCTAGAGTGGCACTCAAAAAATGTCTGTGTTCTGACTTGCATACAAATTCAGCTTAAGAACAAACCTACAGAACCCATCTCATTTGTAACTTGGGGACTGCCTGTGTTTCAGTTGCAGCACAATTCCGTGGAAGCGGGTCATAGAGTTGCACTGGAGGGCCTAGAGCTTCCCTACAGATAACATTTTAACCCAATTCATAAATAATTGATTCCACAAAAATCAGAACTTGAAAATGACTATATTGCATTTATTCACTAGCTGAGGTAGGAGTCCCCAGTGGCGCAGTGGGTTAAACCCCTGTGCTGGCAGGACTGAAGACTGACAGGTCGCAGGTTCAAATCCGGGGAGAGGTGGATGAGCTCCCTCTATCAGCTCCAGCTCCTCATGTGGGGACATGAGAGAAGCCTCCCACAAGGATGACAAAACATCAAAAATCATCTGTGCATCCCCTGGGCAACATCCTTGCAGATTGCCAATTCTCTCATACCAGAAGCGACTTGCAGTTTCTCAAGATGCTCCTGACACGACAAAAAAAAAAAAACTAGCTGAGGTACCCACCGACGTATGGGTTAGATCTTTTTAAAAAAGATTAATTGTTTGCGTTTGTTTTTATGAATGGTCCCATTAGAAAACACATAAGGATGTGGGTGAACTACAGCTCCCAACCTCCAAAGTCATTTCCCTCCAAATGACCATGTTGGTTAAGTGTGTCATGTTTGGTCCAGATATGTTGTTGGTGGGAGTCACAAGGCTCTTTGGATGAGGTCCCTTCTTGGAAATCATATACAAACAGATAGATATCTGAACAGATAGATAGATAGATAGATAGATAGATAGATAGATAGATAGATAGATGAGAATGGATAGGTAGATAGGTAGATGCCTACATACATACATCCCAACAGATTTTCACTTATTATATACTAGCTTGGGTACCCAGTGATGCCTGGATTATTTGAAAAAGTCACTTTAAAAATTTAATGGTCCCATTAAGAACAACTCCCATTGTGCCAGGTTAACCCTCTCAAACTCCAAATGTACTTAAAGTTGGTCATGTTGGGCATTTGTGGCAAGTTTGCTCCAGATGTGTCATCGGTGGGGTTCAGTGTGCTCTAAGGTTGCGGGGTGAACTACAACTCCCACCAAGGTGGATAAGTTTCCTCAAACCCCTTCTTGTAGGATCAGTTGGCCATACCAAGTTTGGACCTGGTTCTTTTGTCAGTGGGGGGTCACCTCCGGATGTAGGCAGGAGCAGCTCAACCCATTACGCAAAGTACGCCTTTGCAGTATAGTTGATTTTGCCCAGGGACGCTCTTGGGGGAAAGTAGACCTTGACATATGCGAGTTGTAGTTACTGGGATGTATAGTTCACCTACAATCAAAGAGCATTCTGAACTCCACCAATGATGGAATTGAACCAAATATGGCACACAGAACTCCCACGACGAACAGAAAATATATATCAGTGATTGGTTGGGGGGGGGGGGGCCCCAAAATACTGTTTGCTTAAAAATTACCTAGGGCCACCTCTGGATGTAGGTGAACTGCAACTCCCAGAAATCAAGATGAATTCCCCCGAAATTGCTCCAGTATGTTCAGTTGGTCTTGGTTCTGTGTGCCAAGTGTGGTCCAGATCCATTGATAGTTGGGGTCATAGTTTCTCTGGATGTAGGTGAACTACAACTCCCAAAAATCAAGGTCAATCCCTCGCAAACTCCCCCAGTATCCAAATTTGGCCATATTGGGTATGTGTGTGAAAATGTATTATTATTATTATTATTATTATTATTATTATTATCATCTTTATTTGCACCCCGCTAACATCTCCCGAAGGACTCGGTGTGGCTTACAAAGGCCAAGGCCCCCAATAAAACAACAGCAAACAAATACAAACAATAAAACTCATAAAGCAAACCAATAAACATTAAAGCAGTAACAGTAAAACAATAAAACACTACTTCACTACTTCAACTTCAACCAGAGAAGTCAGCCATAGCAGAGCACCAACCTAGACACAGGATACATTGCTACATATAACTATGAACTTAAAATCCATTAAAATGAATTATATATGAAAATGAACAAAATCTGGCTACCAGTATTAAAAAAAAACTCTAAAATTACAACAGCAAAACAACAGAGAGGAAACAATCAGGCACATCTAATCACCTCTCAACAAAAGATTGCTCCAGGCACTGCCAGGCCATCAAATGCTAATCAAGGTGGTCAGTTGAAACATTCACACCTAGCTCCAGCAGACAAGAGTCTTTTGTCCCACCCTGGACATTCCACAGATATAAACCCCTTTTCCTCGCTCCAACAGACCTCGCTACCTCTGAAGATGCTTGCCATAGATGCAGGCGAAACGTCAGGAGAGAATGCCTCTAGAACATGGCCATATAACCCGAAAAAAAACTACAACCATATATGTGTGAAGTTTGGACCAGATCCATAATATTTGGTCCAGATCAATAATAATAATAATAATAATAATTATTATTATTATTATTTAATATATAAATTTATTTCCTATTTATTTATTTACTGTATTTATATACTGCCTTTCTCACCTTGGGGGGGGGGAGACTCAAGGCGGGTTACAACACACTAATGGCAAAAATTCAATGCCAACATAAAGTACACAAAGAAATCATAATAACGAATTGCTACATATAACTATGAACTTAAAATCCATTAAAATGAATTATATATGTATAATATAAAGATAGATATACTGTGTATACTGTGTATAGATCAGTGTTTCTCAACCTTCCTAATGCTGCGACCCCTTAATACAGCGCCTCATGTTGTGGTGACCTCCAACCATAAAATTATTATCATTGCTACTTCCTAATGGTACTTGTGTTACTGTTCTCAATCATAATGTAAATATCTGAAATGCAGGATATATTTTCATTCCTTGGACCAAATTTGGCACAAATACCCAATAACTGAGCTCCATGCAGTCATGCCGGCCACATGACCTTGTAGGTGTCTATGGAGAACACCAGCTCTTCAGCCTAGAAATTGAGCACCAACCCCCAGAGTTGGACACGATTGGACTTAATGTCAGGGGAAAAATTTTACCTTACCTTACCCAATAAGCCAAATTGATGGGGTTGGAGGGAGAATTGATTTTGTCATTTGGGAGTTGTAGTTGCTGGGATTTAT